TTTGGAACAGTTTGATAACACAGTCAGAACTCACAGCTCACAGCTTTCCTTCTTGGCTCTCTATTCATCTCTTTGTTCTGTCCCTTCCCAGCATGACATTTGTGGTTGTCCTCACCTAGTCTAAATCAGTACATGGTAATGGTTCTGGACGGGCTGCTTAGCCTTGCTAAAATACAGTTGTTTTTCTGGTTTTCTTTTCCAAATCTCCTTCATATTTCGACGTCTTTATATTGCCAGGAAAAAAAGAAGTTGATTTCTTGTGTTTTTGTTTTTTTCTTCTCTTAGGTAAACTGTGCATCGAGCGCAGGCTATCAGCTCTGCTGTCGGGGTTCTGCGCCTGATTTGAGTAATGTTCTCCACGCACCTCATCCCAGCTGATCACCTTGTTTCCAATGGCCTGTTGCTGTGGTGGGAAACAATTCTGACAGCAGGACACCTGGAGGATGAACTGCTCAATGTTCTGTGTTCTGGCATTTTGGGAAGTTGTTCCACAGTCTTAGATTCTTTTGTGGGGGCTGTGTGACTGTAGAAGCACGAATGCTTCCCTGTCCAAAGGCCTGGACGAAGACGAAGCTGATGTGGAAATTTTCGCTCATCGGCAGCAGGGATGAAGGATAGCAGTCTGCTTCTTCCCAGCACTTCGAAGGATAAGACTGCTGCCTGTCCACTTGCTTAAGAACAGGGTATTCCAGTGCTGTCTCCATTGCAGGCAATGGATGTGCCTAAACTGCTGGCTTCAGTTAATGTTGGAGGCTGTCGTTCAGAAATTAAGGCCAGTTTGTGTACTTCCCCCTACCCCAGCTGACAGCCGGGCACCTTCAAGCTTCCTGACAGCCCCGGGCTCCCCGCCTGTCTCCTTCATCCCGTCTCACACACGCTGAAGCCTTGGAGTGTGCACAGAGCCGAAAGGAAGGAAGCTGCGCTTCGCCTGAGCGTGGCTGAAGTCGTGGCTGCCTTCTGCAGATGCATTGAGCGAGGCTGGGAGCGAGTTGTCTGGGATGTTCAGATCTCCGCGGCTGTCGCCTGGGCTGCCTCTGTCTGCGGGTGGACAAACGGCGCAGGGAAAGAGACTGCACAGAAAGCAGGAAGGCGACAGGAAGCGTGACTTCCCTGTCTTTCTCAGAAGCCAAAACGAATCAATCCGTTCCTCCCTTGTTCCCCGAGCTCAATGGGGTCAGCATTAAAGACTCCTGGCTGTCAGTTCAGCCTATCAGTACATATCTACCACAAGGGAGCAGTAGCGCTGTCCTGCTTTCAGCTGTTGGCTTGAGACCCTTCCCAGAGCCCTCACCCCGAACTGAGAACACTAGCTTTGTGAATCAAAGGAGCACTTTACACACTATGGGAACTTTCAGAAGTTGACTTTGCATCACACAACAACCCAGGAACATCACGACTGTTAGGAATGCTGTTCTTTTTATTCCTTTCCTTGTTTCCTGGTTGTTTTATTGCACTACGTGTGTGCATATATTAATATGTATTCCTGAGGTTGAATATATATTGATATATATGGTTTGTGTGTAACTGTACGTATTTAACTGTACTGTATTTGTGAGTGTGAGGCACTGCGGAGTCTGTGCTGTTCCTCCTCCATACCAGGCAACGCTGACTCGCAGTCTGGCAGTACCAAGATGTTTCTGTCTGTTTGGGTTTTTATTTAAGTGTTCTTTTAAGGACAGTCAGTGTGAAGCTCCGTGCTTTTTAAGAGCTCGAGAACAGGTGTAAGATCCTACACACAATTGGAAATGGATTCTTTTTTTCTTCCTTTTTTTTTTTTTTTTTTTTAAGTTTTATTTGCTGCTTCATTTTTTTTTATAAAGAAATCTGGTAGCGTTCGGTTCAATGTTCAGCATTTCTTTTCAGGAGACTCTGTAGCCAAATGTGACTGCAGGTGTGAGTGGCTCGAGTTCTGGTTGAGGCTTCGGATGCTGTGAGCAGATGTGTGAGAGGATCGCAGCTGCCTTCCGTCTGTCTGCGTGCGCATGTGTGTGTCTTAATTTATCAGTCATGGCAGTATTTTGGTAGCGCTGGGCAGAAAAGGATCTTTGAAAGCAACTCGAAACCTCAGGCTTTGTTTCAGGGGATTTAATAATACTTTGCACACGGTGGTTAAGTCCTCACTGCATTTTTTTTTTCCTCTCGATATTGGCATGTTCAGCGTTGATACTTTACAGTGGTTTCAGGAGCAACTCAATGGGCTTGAGCCGGCATCATCTTTGGCAGTGTGGATGTTTGTGATCACGGAGTAGAAATGCCAAGAAGGAAATTAAGAAACATTTTTGATTCCCCCAACCAGGGAGGCTTAGACATAGCTCACAGTCAGTATTGGGCCTCTGCTGCATCGTGCATTCGCAGCCCGCCGCTGCCTTCTGCCGCCTGGAGGAAAAAAAAGACAAGGCAAAGAAAACAACAACCGGGAGACGAGACGGCCCCCAGCCTGTGGCCAGAACGGCCGAAGAGACGCGGATCGCTTCCAAAGGGCTCGGGGTTGTGCACAGGGCTGCGCCGCAGGTGGGCACGCGCGCAGCAGGAAGGCGCTCAGCCAGGACTGCCCTGCCGTGCACGCGCCTGCTGCTGCCCTGCGCCCTCTGCAGTCCCACGCCTGCACTGATTGCTTCTAAGGAACGCAGCCCGGGTTCCGTGGTTGTGCCGCAGGTTTCGTGGTCCGTGTACGTGGCAAGCTCAGCACTAACCTTCCAGCTGTACTTAATTACTTGAATGTATCAGAATTGTCCACATTCAGTGTACACGAATATATATTGCTCCAAAAAATCGTGGTTTACAGCCCTGCAACCGAGATAGATATATGTGTGTGTTTGTGTATATACATACAAGCTGTGTGTGTGTGTATGCATAGTATGCACACAAACGCAAACGTGTATATATGTTTTCTCTCAATACTTGAAACTTAGCCACTGTGCTTGAATTTAAAAAATATATATATATAAAAAAAGAAAAACTAGGAAAAAAAGGAAAAAAAAAATCAGACAGGTGATTTATTTTGCCATCACTTTGGTGACTTTTATTTTTTATCTAAGTGCATGTAGCGTGAAACCAACTTTTTTTTGGTGGAAAATATTTATTGCTTTGTAGACAACAAGGAATGCAAAAAAAAAAAAAAAAAAAAAAAAA